CGCATTGCATCCTTCATCCACGTTCGGAAGTGTGAAAATCCACGTACCTCATGCGCCATGACATACTACTCTGCTAATTTTCTCAGTGGCAATGATGAAGCTGAACAGAACCGGTCTATAAATTATACATATCAACAGTCAGAATCGTCGATCAGATGATGGCAGACAAAATAGGTTGATAAGTCGCGCAATAAATTTGGCACTCCCGTCCAAGCGAGGATAGATAGAGATAAGTACAAACCGCGCGTGATTTGGCTCGAGAAAGAAAAAATCGATTCAGAAAAAATACAGACACCAGGGTTTCGGTTGGAACGAATCGGTCACAATTGTGGGAATTTTCATCTAGAAAATCACATAGAATAAACTGAATACATGCATCGGGCGGACATCAAGAACAGACGCGGTAGAAATCACGTGACGTCAAGACAAAACACACTGTGCAAAAAAAGCAGGGTCACAGTGTGGGAACTAAGTGGAACTACATGTCTGAACCATGATGGTAGAGTGAGAGACTCACCGTGCGAATAACAAAATCAATTTTCAGCTCGACCACATTTGCGCGCCTACGGCGTTGTAACGCTGCCTCACGTTGCATTTTTCGTGCCGCCTGCCGGGGGACGGGAGGGGGGGGGAACGGAATATGGACAGCCAATTTAGCTAATGATAATCCAAGCGATCGGGAGTGCCAGAAAGTAACAGTGTAGAGGTTTGTATCACTTTATTTCAGAATTGTATAAAAGACGGTAAGGTGACATGACATGTTAGAGCATAATGACATTCACCGTCAGATGGGGCTCGATATAGATCTGGGACGATCATATGCACACGAAAATCCGGTAAAATATCAATGGTGACAACCAAACGAGCTTACACAGAGCGACCGTTGCATATTTGAAGTGTGCGGAAATAAACATTACATCATTCTAAAGGAAACTAGTGAACAATCATGAAAACATACTGAATTTTAGTGCCCTAGTAGAATATATTTCCTAAGTAAATGGAATTTCGAACATGTTTGGGTAAAGACTGTGCGGCAAATAAACCAAGGTACAAGAAGTTTTGCAAAAAACAAATTCATCCATGGTTTGTTCAGTGGAGTAAAACTTTTTTTCCTTTTCCGTTTAATTGCTTTTCTTGAGTAGCTTAAAATACAATATTCAGTAAAGGGGAAAGCGATTAATCATGGAGCCGCCATATTACCAGGTAGCCGAACCCGAAGTAGGTAGCTTTCTTGCAGACCTACAACCGGACCGAGCTAAACTCTGATCTGCGAGTAAGGCCCGGGGTGGAAATTGTTGTCCACTGGGGGCTGATACTCGGTCAGCCGGATCTTGTTTGCACATCGAGTCTGGTTCAAACGTCCACAGTCCCCAGAACGCCCTATCGTCTAATCGAGCAGGTGACCATCGAGCCAGTTCGTTCTCGAGAGGTGAACATGTGTGACGAATATGCACATGCGTTTGACCTCCTTAGTTCCAATCATTCATACTACTCTCTGTGATCTTTACACATCGGACAGTGACCCTTTTCACTCTGGTTTCCATCTCATTCCAATCGAAACGTAGTTCGTTGCGACACAACTTCAATGATCAAAGTGTAATGGTTGATTCTTTTGTGATATGCCATTCCCAAGTTTCCGTTCAATTACCCAGAATACATTTATTGTTTATCAAAGACTGTCTGTCTTACAGTTTCAGGCCCATTCACGAAAACAGCAATCGTGAAAGAATTCACTGGTCCGTAACTCTGTCCTTCTGGTGGCATTTCATCAAACAACATCCGTGGCCAATGACCTGACGCATGCACATCAGTGAACACGCACTACATACAGTCCGTGTCACATGCGTTCTAAACGATTAACCCTCTTTCGTGCAAAAGCGGCTTCTTCACACCTTGATTTGTATTTCAAAACAAGCCTAATTTGACTCTAGTAATGAGTACTGTCTTTTCTTGACTATGCTCAACATATCATCGATGACGGTTAACGTTAAACTGCAATACAATGCAATTGCTACTCCACTACCCGGCTGTCCCATCATTGTTTTTATTTTAAACGTTACTAGGGCGGCTTTTTCGGCGGGAGAATGAACAAAGTAACTTTGACATGAGAGTTGTTCAATACTTTCCACTCTCGTGCTACAGACCCCGGCCTTCAAATCCCTCACTGTGAGTCATGTTTATTTCGTTACACTCTGTGATGATAAAATTTTCAAAGCATATAATATAAAAGCAAGCCAGACAAGCGACAAAAAATATAAGTTTCGCTTACTGTGTAACCGATGAAATTGACTATAGATAATCTAAGCAAATTGTTCACCATTCTCATGTGACAAATGACCAGGTTCGCAATAGTTCTCAAAGAGGCTAGTGCTGAGATGAGCGCAATGTGATGCCCACGGCAAGCTTGAACAGATGAGTTGTGCTATGTCATGCATAGGCAAGAATGAAAAATGCTTGATCAGCTGTTCAGTGATTAAGTGATTGGAAATAATCTGGAAGGATTGTATATCGGGATGTAGATGTTGGTGGTCGGTTGTTCTCCGGGCTGGGAGTGTTGTTTGGGAACAACACTTTCAGCTTGGAGAACACACTATCCACAATCAGTGATTGCCATGCTTGCGTTCTACGCGCCGGGTCCTGAGTTCGATTCTCAGTTGGCTCGACGGGTTAGCACTGAAGATGAGACTCAATCATCAGTACGGAGTCCGTTCGCCCCTTTAGTTCTGACTTCATTTGCTCTGTCAAAGATCATAATCACAATCTAAAGGTATGCATGACGAGTTTACTCACTTTGTTCGCTCGTGTTGGTATATCAACACTGTCGGCGGTCTCGTCTCGTTGTCCGTCAATCGCATCGGACCTGCCATCGGAAAGATCACCCCGATCCTCTTCCTCATCGTCCTCGTCCTCTTCATCTAGGTCGTCCAGTGTTTCCGAGAACCAACTGCTCATGGTTGATTCACTCGTGCTTCGGTCCAAACGACGAGCGGCACGTAGTACATCACGAGGTGCAACTGAGCGATCGGCCGGGAGGATTATTGCATCCTGAAATGCGATGAATTGCATGAAAACTGAAAGCTCCCCGGATTTGCAATGGAAAATTAGCCAAGTTTTTTTTCAGAGATATGGAAGTCCAAATGTAATCTCAATGGAAAAATGCACGGAAAACTGGCGCGTAACTGAACATGAAAGTATTCCTGGTTTCTACACCAAAATACGGTGTGCAACATAAAACTGGCCAAATTTGGTGTTTTTCACAGTGATACGAAACGGCAATTTGTCGAAAGATAAAAAAGGGGAAAGTGCACGTGATCAGATAGTGGCCGATTGGGGAACAGCATGTTGTTATGATGACGCCAGCGTGGGATACCTTTATCCAAATATCACCACTCCCGAAAGCTGAATAACTTGAACACGAGCGTTTCAAATGAGAGAACGAATCGGGCAGTTATCTGATTTCGATCCAGTAGAACAATCAGCTCCAGAGCCAATAAGGTTTATGGTTTCCAGGCCGTAAATTTGTGCGTCGAAAATATTCGTCGTCTAGAAGCGTTCGACTGTCGATGTTTATGTAGTTTGGCGAGGGTTGGATGGGGCGAGCGTGAAAGTAACTCTGAGATTTGTATTTGGTAGTGATTCGATGGAGAATTCGTTGTCCCATCGAATTCGGATCAATCGGCTTCGCCGGTTACGAACGTATTGCGCATGCCTAGTCATCGTCTACCGCACAGCGCCTTATTCACAGTTTCAGCTTCAGGTTGGCAGAGATCACGGGGATGTAAACAGATGACGCGGAAATGAGGAATGAATGATGGAAGGCATAGCGCGATTATCAGGTAGAATCGGTGTTTTCCGCCTTCCGTGTTTGGGTTCAAAAGACTCTGCAACTCTGATTGGAGATACTGGAGGATATGGCAACTAACTGAAAGCAGTGATGTTCTTATCAGGTCAGAATACTTGAAAAGGTGTATAAGTTTACCGTAGAGATTCACTTTCTGTTTCGCTCTTTAATTAGGCCCATTTGCACTCCCATATAGTACTTTACATCTTACTTATTATCAATGTTAATTTGTTGTTTATAAAAACTGTTCCATTCTCGTTAATTATTACTTAACTCATCAAGGACTGGGTCAACCACTACTGACGAAATGGGACTATCCGCTACATTCTGAACCAATCCATCTGCTGAATATAAAAGAATCCGGAAAATCAATGCTATAAAGACTCACCAAGGCTTGTTTATTATTATTTTAAAAAATTTACTATAGTATAAATGTTGTTGCCTATACGAACCAACAAGTATATATATATATATATATATATATATA